AAATTTTAAACACTTTTCATATATATACAAAATATATATTATATATATCGATGACATTCTATAATCGATTTATTAAATGACCATTTAATTTTTTTTTTCACTTTATAAGATTACAAAAAAGAAAACAACAACAACATTTATTTCCCCATATTTAAATATTTACCACACAACACAATATTGTATATCATCATAAATTATAAGTTATACCTATACATATATTATATAAATGGTATATATCTATATATACATATGTGCATGAACAATTAATATATAGATTTCAACATCCTGTAAATTATGATGCAAAATCTCCATGTATATTGTAAATATTATACATTGTATATATTATACTCAAAGATATACATACATATAAAGAGATCAAATATACATGTACATGTGCACATATTTTATCTACTTCATAAGTTCTTGTAAATTTTTATAGATTTTGGGAAGGTCAGGGACGAGATACCGTAAAAATCGATGAATGAAAAGAAAAAGAAAAAAAAAAATACCTACATGGTATTTTTCATTTTTTTTTTTTACGTAAGCTTAAAGCAAAAAAAAATTTTTTTTTCTCACTTTTTCTCAATTTTTTTTTTTATTTTCTTGTTTTATTTAAAATATATACTTTATATAATAATAAATTTGTGGTTTTTTTGTTTTGTTTTTAGACATGATGTCTCTTTAAGGATACAATCTATTTGTGTTTGTATATATCCTTAAAACAAAACAAAAATAAAAGAGAGAAAAATTTGTTTTTTCAGTAGCATCACTCAAAAAAAAAAAATGCATATAATAAAAGAATAATAAGAATAATAAAAATAAAAAATTAAATTGCAATATGAAAATATTATTATAGTGTAGATATATTAAAATTGCATACGGTAAGGCGTAATTAAATTGGGTTTTTAATTCTTTTTATCTTACAATATAAAAAAAATTGAAAAAAAAGAGGTTATCATAGGCCCTAGATATTGTATAATATAGGTGTGTAAATGATGATATATATGTATATATATATATATATATATACATCATTATATATATATATATATATATATATACATATATATATCATTATATATATATATATATATATATATCATTAATTAACTGCTTATTATTGTTATATTTGTATATGTGTACACGAATATATTAAGCAAAAATTTTATTTTATATACAATAGAAAATTTTTCTTCTTTATTTTAATATTTTTGATTTTATATAATCTTCTATTCATATACCCACTCTTATATACTTAAAATAAATATTAAGACTTTATAGAATTTATGAACAATATATATTTTGGTATATATTATGTGTTAATTTATTATATATGATAAATATGAAAAAATAATTATATACAATGGGATCTGTATAGCTCGGAGTCGCACGGGAACGTTAAAACAATTCGAGTTATGGAGATTTCGAGTTTAAGAGAAAAACAAAAAGTTATACCAATCTTCATAGGGAACTCATATAACTTTGAGCTGAAAAGATTTTCGAGTTGTAGAGGTTCGAGTTGTTGAGATTCAACTGTATGTATATGTAACCAAAAAAAAAGCATATGTATGTAGTATAATCAAAAAAAAAAAATTAAGGAATATTGAGATAAATGATGATGACTTTAATATTACGTATTTTATTCCAGTTTCAATATAAATTCATTATTTAGTTATATATATAATATATTATAAAAATATATTGATTTATTTGTGTATATATTAATAATATATATTAATATATATTATATTTGTGTATATATCAATTAACTATGTAATTTTAATATTTTGTTAATATATACGAGTAACAACATTTTTTGTTACATAGTATACGAACAGTTAAAAGTTATTTATATCGAAATATTCATGCCTTATTTATGTACATAAGTATACATTTTTGAATACATAATTTTCATATTTCCATTAGCAATACAGAAATAATAATAATATTTAAATATTTTAAAAGGACAATTGATTATACATATATTGCTTATACATTTTGTGTACAATTGTAACAAACAACAAATTATAAACTGTAATTTCTTTCAGTATTACGCTGAATTCCACAATGTAATTTAATGCAGTAATACATTATACCGTAATATATTACCGTATACCTACAATACAACTATACCCTACAATACATTACAATACATAACATACTATACAATTTTACTACACATGAGAAAATTCAACGCTTGCTACTTTTTTAGTAGATTTAACTTTCTTCGTTTAGTTCAACCAATTTCGAATACAAGTATATATGGAAGAAAAATAAAATATAACAAAAATTCATGACTAACAATAATTTTATAATTTTTTTTTTACTTTATAATAGTTTTTACAATTAAAATAAAATGAAAGATAAACAAATAATTTTATTGCCACAAATATTGATTGTAGGCGTTAATAATATATTGAATGGACACTAAGTAATTGTACTATTAGTAAATATATAAAAGTACTAATCTATATATATATACATATATATATATATATATATATATATATATATATATATATATATGTATGAAATGTATATATATATATACATATATATATATATATATATATATATATATATATATATATATATATATATGTATGAAATGTATATATATATATATATACATTTATATATATATATATATACATATATATATATATATATATATATATATGTATGAAATGTATATATATATATATATATATATAATATACATATATATATATGTATGAAATGAATATATATATATACATTTATATATATATATATATGTGAAACTGATTCTAGTAAATACCTAGTTTCTAATTAAAAAATAATTTCAAATTAAACAAAATTTTATTCATTTTGTTTATTATTTTTGCATTAGTTTACTAATTTTAAAATAAACTTACTATGCATACATATACATATTATATCGAGAATATTAAATAATCTAAAGAAAAATTTTTCTATTTGACAACATTAAATTGTTACTTAGTATGTATGTGTTCATAAATGCAATAGCAATACGAGAAATTCAATAATATTATATTTTTGTCATACAATAATTTTTTGTAATACAAAAATTCTATAGTGATGATTTCATATGCAATTACTTTTACAAATATGTAATTAATATTCCAATGAGTACTTTAAATCTTAATATTACATTTTTGTTATTTTACATATTAAAAATAATTATTAAAAATTAATTAAATTTTAGAATTTTCAAATCTTTTAACCTGAAAATTTTAAATAAATGCATTATCAATTTCTTTTTTTAAATTCTTTAACTTCATTTAAGCACATATTCAATCCATAATTTTAATAATTTGTTCGATTTAAATCATAAATAAGAAAAAATCTTATTGATTGAATGAATAGAGTTGACAGCGTCTTAGAATTTTCTAGAAATTAATTAGTAAAATCAATGTAAATTTGGCGACAATTTGTAAAAATAAAACGACTTCCAAACTGACTGTGACTTACAAAACGTAGCACGTGAATATGTAAAATTTACAATGTATCATATTCCAAAATGTATATATCAAAATCTATTGACAAGTATAAAATGTACAATACACTAATTTAAAATGTATCGAATACGCAGTTGAAACGTAGCCCAAAAGTAGAGAGTGTAGTGGAAAAATTAACACTGTTCTTCACATACAATACAGCGATTTCAAAAGATTTTCGTTGTTATAAAACTATATTTACACGGTATTTAAACTATATTAAAATTTTTTATACTGCGTTTTGGAAGTTACAGACAATAGAGTACCAAATATTATTACTTTTAACATGTTTATTGTTAATAACGTATTTTTGTAATATAACACATATAACCGTTATGTAGCTTACAAAAATACATGGTTCTATTATTATTAATTTTACTTTCAATAGTTTTAACAATAGCTGAAATTAAAATTATTACCACATGGCCCCGCGTTTACCGTTCATTTTTGTAATATTCATCCGAAGACTTGCATATTATTATGTGATTAAAATGTTGAACTTATTATAAATATTTTAAATATTTGGATTTTATTAAGTAAGTAATATGAAGACAACTCAATAACTTTCTTATTCTTTAATTGACAATCTAGTTCTAGAATTCTAGCTAGACGCTAGACATTATTATGAAAACTTAATTTTGATTTTGTCATAATCTCTTTTCTTTTTTGATTTTATTGTTGCGTTTATGTTTTAAATTTTTAAGCTTTTTTAATGCTCAAAATGTGCTTTTTTTTTCGTCAGCGTAAGCTTAAGAAGAGCCAAGAAGAGTATGAAATTTTTATTAATGTTTTCAATGCTTTATTATTTTCTATATAGAAAAGTTTTATTTTATGTATTAAAAACCGGTAAATCTATTTCACTTTTAATGAATAAAATTTTGCGAAATAAAAGTTTTGTTATTCCTTCTTTTTTTTTCTCTATTTTTTTTTTTATTAAATTCTCTTTTCTTTTTTCTTTGAGGTTTTTTTTTTTGTTTATTTTAATGATATTTCCACTTTGGTAAATGAGTATAATTTTTAGTTATATTAAAGCATTCAAATGAAACGGTCGTGTATGCATTAAAAGAGCGCGTTTATGTAGAATAATAAAAAGAAAAGAAAAAAAAACATTTATATAGTGTACCTGGGGTAATTTTTTAGGTGCTCGTTATTTTTGTTTTTACATACTACATAAAATATTTTATTAAAATATAGCCTATATAAATTCATAAAATTCTAAATTAAAAAAATCATTTTCATAATATATGTATAACATTGTTTATATTATATATTTTATATTATGTATAAATAAAGATTTAAATATCAGAAAAGTGATATATTTTAAACAAGATAATATTAAGTAGGTATATAAATAGTGCATTACATATGTATATATATATATATATATATATATAAACATTATAAATAATAAATGAAAACAATTTAAATAATTAATATTTAACATATATATATATATATATATATATATATAAGAGTATTAAATATTTGTATATACATTGTGTATGTTAAGTATTTAATGCGATACATACATACATACATACATGTATATTAAAAAAAAAAAATTAAATATTATTAAAGTAAACGGTTTCAATTGAATGTGATTTTTAAAGTGGTGTCAAGTTGAAGGTGAGTTATCTTATAGCTATTCCGTATTTTTTTTTATAAAAACAAAAATTCTGATGCACATATTCTTTAATCTATATATATATATATATATATATATATATATATATATTTGAATACGGACATATTTTTTGATATTAATTCTGTCATACATAAATGATTTATATATTTTGTAAAATATTTGAAATATGGAATATTGTGGTATACATGGTATGGTATATATACTCTTAAATACATAATATTATGAATAAAGAATTAATTACACGTTTATTCTGAAATAATGCACCTGTTCTATTCAATAAACTGCAATTAATATATACGAAATACATGCATAATTATTATTTTATTTATATACCTATATATTTATAATATACATGCATATATACTCCAAAAATTAATTTCCAAGGCGGTTAAAATTTAATCACAAGCCGCATTCTATATACATACTAATTTAATCTTTTTATAAAATAATTAAAAGTTAAACCGAATTTGAATTGTGATATGCCCTTTTTTTTAATTGAGGTTATTTTTTTGTTTATTTTTTTTACTCTACTTAAAACACAATATATTTGTTACATAAGGTATATAGATATAAAAAAAATTGTTCAAATAATTTAACGCGGTTTTTGATAGTAGACACACAATTATATATTAGTATTTTTATACTAGGCTATGATAACATTTGGAAGAGAATATACAGCATAACATTTTAAAGCCATTGCAAAAGGCTGAAGTAATAAAAAATTAACTTTAGTTTTTGGCTTGTAAACCATTTTGTTTGTTTTGTGTTTCAGACTTTATCGAATTTGTTATCATTTATTTTACCCTGTGTTTGTGACATTTTGTTTATCATATTCCGATTTTTTAACCCTAATAAAATTTCTCTCAAAACTTAAATTTCTTGCACATTTATAATTTTATGTAGAGATTATTTTTTTCTCAAAAATTTAGAAAAATTCATAAGAATATTTTATTGAGACAGGCGTCCTCATTATTTTTCTAATAAGAAATACGAATATTTCTTGTATTCTAAAATAAAAATACTTCTTGATTTACATTTCAAATTGTTTGGGGTCAACAGACATTACACGTTACATAATATTATATACAGGCATTAATCATCTAGAAATCCCATTACGCAAAATTTTAAAAATAAATTTAAATAAATTTATAAAATTTTTTACATAAAAAACATATTTATTGTATTGTATGTAAAACATGTGAGAAATATAATGTTTGTAATTTGTTTTTAATATTAATTGTATACAAACATTTTTACATGTGGATTTGTTATAAATATTAATTAAAATTAAAATTTGTTATATTGAAGATTTCGTTTTTCATCAATAACAATAATAGAAAATTTTTTTTTATTTTCAACTTTTTAATTAAAGAAATTATTCATTTTCCTTTTAATTAATATTATAAAAAAAAAAGAAATTTTATATTCTAAATATACATACTTACGTACGTATTTCTAATGATGACAAATTTTGCTATACTGCATTATATACAAAATTGAGATATTCTAAAATATATACTAGAATATCTAGTGGAATTTGTTTATAGTGTAGAAATATGATGATTAGTGAACAGCTTATTAGTCAGCTCAGCTCTCTATAAAAAAAAATTAATGTATGTTTGAATTAAAACCGGTTTTTCTTAAGATTTTTTTAAATCAAAAAAAAAATTAATTAATACTTTTATATACTATAACTAATTAATTATTTTATTTGAATAGAAAAAAATGAACTTTTAAAGATTGTCTCAAAATTCATGCAAAATTTGAATTTTGCGCCATTTGTGCGGTAAAATGCTGCCAACAAAAAATAAATACAGTGTGACAGCTGACATGTTAAGGCTTATTAAAAATGGAGCGCTACACAAAGAATAACGAATTTTTATTCATAAACAATTTTTTTTGTAAATAATGAAAGTTTTTCGAACAAAATCATCTTCAGCGATAAGGCTCATTTTCATCTTGATGACTTTGTTAATCAACAAAATTGTCACATTCGGTTTTCAGAAAATCCACAAGTAATTGGTGAGAAATAAATACATCCATAATGTGGCACTGTTTGTGTCCGGATTTTTTATTGAAGGCACCCTATATATTTATGAAATAAATTTAGTATGTTGGCTTATAGGGAAAATGATCTATAAATTTTATATATAAAAAGGAATGAAATTGGATTTGAAATCCAAACCATTTTCATTCCATAATTTCGGTTATTAATTGTTCATTTAATTGATTAGGATCATCAGTATAGTTTTACCGTATGAGTAGGCCAATTTTAATTACATAATTGCGGCTATTTTGCTTGTTTAATTGATTAGGATCACCACTAGATCAAACTTTTGAATACGCCAGTCCTGAACTATTTGTAAATTTGAAAATATTATTCAATTTAAAGGAAAAGACCTCAAATAATTTGTTAGTTTCCGAATTACTAAGTTAAGAAAATTTTAAAAAATATATAAAACTAATTTTTTTCTAATAAAACAACAATTAAAATGCTATGAACCCCTGATATTTTCATTAGAAAAAAAAAAAGCAAATTTACCCTATATTTTCATAAAATCTTTATATTTAACAAATGATGTACAAAATTGAAGAACAAGAAAATTTTATCTTATATATGCTTTTCATCTCAAAATAATTATTTTTAATTTTTTATTTCTTTAATTTTTATTTTTCTATTCAATTCATTTTCATTCAAATACATCCATACATGCATATATAAAAATAATTGAAAAATCGAAATTATTTATAAATTTATTATTCTTTTGAGTATTTGAAAAGTGGTCATTTTAGTGTTTATAATTTGTTATAGTCATTGAAATAAAATAATTTTTATTTTACTTTTAAAAATTAAATAAAAAAAAAAAGATAAAAATAAATTTTCCCTCCGTCATTCATTGTAAATTAAAATCTATTTGTGTCTTTGCGATGAGTTTGTCGTGTTTTAGAAATTAGAAAATATCAAATTTTGTAAAAAATATAAATTTTTAGGTTTGTATACTTAGTATTTTAAATTTCAATTTCATATCTCTTCTATATTAATTAAGATTATATTCCTTAACCCTTTGTCATTTAAAAATTGAAAAATTTTCGAGACATTGCACATAGTATTTGAGATGAAAATAATTAAAATTAGTTATGAAAATTGTGAGGAAATAAATATGAATACTTCGAGAAATCAAATTGACTCTCTATATATATATAGCAAAAGTAAATATCATTTCACACATAAAACAAATGGAGCCCCAAGTCTTTTGTACGGATTTTGTACTAATTTTATATTAATATTAATTTTCCTCATTGTGGTTGTGATACGTAATAAAAGTTAAAATTTCATTATTTGTATAGTCTCGACCCACATACAGTATATTGGATGATATTATAATCTTTACTATCTTGATAGCATTGTCTTTGGTACTTCAATTAAAATTATAATTAATTTGACAATTAATAAAATTGCTAGCTGCAAAAATATTATTAGATTTGATTAAATTTGTAATTTTTTCAAGACAAACATAACAGTCCGATCATGTATTTTTTACTCGCTTTTCTACTCACTTTTTATTCACTTTCAAATCAGAATTCACCAGTATTTTCTAATAAATGTTTTACTTTTCCAATGAGATTACTCATTTTTTTAATTGGATTTTTGGAACGTCTCACTTTCAAAAATAAAGTGAACAAATTTTGTATGCATTTAAAAAAAAAAAATGAGATTCACAATACCAAATAATTCTTCTCACTTGAAAATATACATTATAAGAGTATATGATAGTTACTCACTTAATTCTCACTTTCCGAGTAAAATAGCGAGAGAGACGATGAGGCCCTAAATATCAAAAATCATTCTTCAAAATAAAGTATTTATTTTATATAAACCATTACAATTTTACAATGTAGAATATTACAAAGGTACAAAAAAATGAGTTTTACATGCAATACTACAATATTTGCCTATAAGTATGCAATTTCTCTTATAATAACAATCATAATTTCAAAAGTACAACGCATTATTACAATTTAAAAATTCTTTGAAATAATTATCTAATTTATTTACAATTATTATACAAGTATACTTTAAATTGAAAACTACTTATAAGAAAAAAAAGTAGCCTCTTATATTAAGTAAACATTTTCTTTTTTATTTTTAAATTACACCTGCTATAAATATTGATATTATTATACAAGTACATTATGTACATATATGTAGTATTATGGTTTTAAAGATTTTATCTTTAGAATAGAAAATTTTCTCTATAGTCATCATAAAAATGAAAATTTGTTATAAAATTATCAAGCAAGTGTACTCATACACATGTTTATGTAGATGAATGTACATACATACATTCATGTATATACAAAATCAAAATTTTCAATGTACATAGAATTTTTTTTTTTTTATAAATACACAAAATTTTTTTCTTCTCTATTTGATGACGTATTTAAAATATACACGATAAAAAATCAGGAAATGGCAAATCAAAATTGAAGAAACTGAAAAAAAAATATTGAAACATTTAAAAAAAGAATAAAAAAATAAAATATCCAAAAATCTTGGAAACTATATGGAAAAAAAAATGCTTCAATGTCATTATAGAATTGCATACTATCGGCGAAAATTTTTGATTTATGACGAAAAATTAATGAACACTAGTGATAACGTCATTTCTGTTTATTTTTTATAACTTTTGAACTCATCAAATAAAATTTGAAGGTCCATTCTATTATAGGATTTATTGACATTGTATATACCGTAGACATTATGTAAATATTTGCTATTAATTTCCTAAAAAAGGAAAGTATTGTGATGTGAGAATGTGAACAAGTGCATGAAATTGTTTAAGCTTTCATTCTATAACTATAAAGAATATTTATTTGATTGTCGGCTTGTATTGCGAAAGATCAATCAATTCAATATTTTCCTAAATATTTTTACATAGTTCGTATTTGTTTAATTTCAATAGATGCCGCCATTATTTTT